GTTCGGCCCTGTGGGACACGGCTAAGCTCGATATGAGCTTCAGGAGGTCACCACGATACTACCCAAACAAAAGAAGAGGACGGAAGGGTTCCCAGCTACCCCGACCACGGCGGCCTCAACTCCGGCGAGGACACGCCCATGGCGGCGGTGGCGGGAATGGACAATGCGCCCTTACCAAAGCTCAATCGGCTCAGCTAAGAGATGGAGGAGGTAGAGGAGAACACGGCGGAGCTGTGGTGAAGATGTAGTTCGCGTTTTTTCGGCGGCGAGCAAGCTAGGCGACGACGGAGCTGCTGCTGCGGAGCTTCGTGCGAGCGGAGAAAGGGAAAATAAAATGGCGAGCGCATTAGGCAGGCGGGCACGAGTTCAAGACATGGCCAACAGCGCCAGGACGGCCGCGGCGCGTGGCCTACGTGGTCAGGCGGCCGGCGACAGGTGGCGCCACACGGTAATGAAACTTTGAAACGGTCGGCCACTGTAGCTTCCATTCAGTTCACCCCACCGACGACTGACAGCGAGATTTAGTTGATCTATAACTCCTAAACCGTGACGATCTAGCTAATGGTGTAGTTGACAAAGTTGTAGATCTACATGCGGGCTACAACTTTCACAATTGGAGCTCGAGCTGGTTTGGCCAGGTTAGGGAGATACAGGGCTCCAAACATCAGTACAAGAAACTGAAAACCAGTCCCGAGACTTAGAAAAATTCTAAGTCACCAAATTGCCCCCAAAACTGACTTGTGAGACCTTTTTGAGCATGTTGTGCACATTTTCATGAGTTGATCATAAAATAACTTTTGTTCCTTATAAAATTTGTTACAACTTTGCTTTAGGTTGCTCAAGCATGCATAGACTCTAAGTTGCACTTTTTAAACAGTCAAACCAAAGAGCTCTAGAGGTCAACACTAGTCAAACCATGACTTGAAAACTTAATTAGGCAAAATGATCAACATGAACATTGTTCCTAATGACCTTCTAAGTATAGCTAAGTTGTTTAAAAAATATATTTAGCCATACCACACATTGGTCACACAAGAATCAAGCACGGAATGTACTGAAACAATGAAAAACAATTGAAATGTTACTTTTGTTTCATAGTCATGTTTCACATGTTTCATGATCTTGTTGCATCGTACTAACTAGCTATGTTCCACTAAAGTGAGTTGCACATGTTGTACTTGGGTGCTGCACACTATTCATTTCATAATTTAAAAACAATACTCATGAAATATACAACATGTTGCAATGTTTCGATAACATGTTTCATGTGATATAAGCTAATGAATGGATGAATGATGCTCATGTTCATGAAATGCAAGTGCAATTATGCAAGCCTAACACCAGGGGTGTTACACTCGTCCTGGCGCCGATCGTAGCGTTTGTCATTATCTGCTGGCGCTGCCTGAAGAAAGCCGATTCCAGTGCTGCATTCGAATCAGCTGATTCCGATCTGTACGCAATTGATTCCCTATTGACATGATCTTGGGAGCTCTCGAGTCCCTGTAGCCCTTCTTTCAAATTTTGGTGTAAACACCCCCTAATTTCAGCTGGTGAATCAAAATGTTTAGCGTGATTCATGGAATTCAATTACTAGGACTACGAGGGAAAGCAGTGAGAAAAAGAACAAGTGACCATGTGCGTATTAGGTAGGAAACTAAGCGAATATTTTCATATGGATGAGTGATCATAGACCGGAAGAAAGCGCCAGACATGCAGCAGCAAGTGCATGCAGCGCAGTGACAAAAGGCGACAGTGTGCAGTGCGATGACAAGAGGCGACATGCGTTGCATTTGTCGCCTTGTCGGTTCAGAGATTAGCCAAAAATGCTCAGCTCACAGGTTGTTGGCGACCTAACGTCCATACCAACTTTAGCAGGTATGTAGATTAATGCCATGACTAATGCTGTGTTTGGTTTGTTACACTACACTAATGGTGTATCATCAGGTAGTTGGAGATACTGTTCAGTGTTCATACTTGCTTGGAAATCAGTTTCTAGGTTAATCACTAGTGGTGCCCTTGCTCTCTTATACTACTACTAATCATACCTGGTGCTGACTGTTGAACAGCACCGTGGTCTCAACACTGAGTTTGACAAGTCTTTCTCTGTAATGTCATTGCACCTGAAAGCCAACTGAGCGGTTCATGGAAGTGCCCAGTAAGATCCTGCTCTTCATCACCATGAGTAATTTAGTCTTGCTTTTCTGTCTTTTCCACCTAACCTCCATGGTTACAATGTGTTCAAAATACTAGAGTGTATGCTTTGTCCTAAGCCAAAAGCTCTGATTTCGTGGCAGCATGTGTGTGTATATGGCTGTCTTTATGCACCTTTTTGGTAATGAACAAAAGACAGGCTGAACAATGATCACAGGGGAGTACCACCCCACTAGTACATTGCTTCCTATGTACCTTCCTCGTCATTTTTAAATATGACAAAAGGTACCAATAGCAAATGGAGCTTAACTTGTAGCTTTGTTGTTACAGAGAAGTATTATCTGAAAACAAACCTCTTCCACGGAAGTTTGAAATGAATTTCGCGAAGTTTTGCACGCCCTAGTTTAGGCGAAGCGATTCCTTTCACGTTTCCTGACCGGACCGCGAGCATCTTGGGACAGCTCTGACAAGGATCGCGTCTTGCCGTCTTCACGTGCATTTGCCAGTTTGACTTGCACAGGTCACGGACGTGCGTGCTAGCACCTTTGCTTCCGTGGGAAGTAGTTAGTTCAACGGTTTACCTGCTCTACCACCACATGAAGATGATGGCGATCAGCTCGTTTTTATCTGATCCGATCCGATCTGATTTGATGATGGCATTAGCACCTAGCTCACCTCGCATTTGAGGATTGCAATTGCAAGCCTCAGTTTGTCTTTTTGGCGCCTGTGTTTGTGTAGTTTTAAAACAAAGAGACAGTATAAATACAGGACTACCTACCTAAGTTTAAGCTTCCTAAGGTCAGGGGCTCGTTTTCGTCATAAAAAAACGTAGAAAGCAGGGGTGGGTGGGTGGGTGGGGGGGGATCACATTTCAAAGGTCTAGACAAATGCCAGCTGTCGGCGTGCTACTCATCTCAAGAATCGTGTTTTAGTCCTTTTATTAACCATATGTTTTAACTTTATATTTTTATTTAGGTACAACACTTCAATCTGGAAATGACGGGTACAGTGCTACTTTGAGCTCAACTTCAGAATCCCTGGGAGCATTATTTTTTAGAAGAAAAACGTGAAATAAAAGCTTAATCTTTTGCACGTATATTGACTATGAGAACTTGCACCTTTGTGATCGGATCTGTTCAACTATGTGCTTCAAACACTATATTCGAGCTGCACGTACAACCCAATACTCAATAGAAATTTACTTATATACGACATTGTATATTGACTATGAGAATTTGCTTAAACTTTTTATATACTACATTGAATATGTGTTCTTCCTGAGCAAGAGAAGGAAAACATTTTAGTGCAGCTGTATGTATCTACATGGTAATAACAAGGGAAGCTATAATAGTCGGTGACGAAGCTAGAGCAAATTAGAGGATGATGTACATGTCCTGTGGGTGCATAGACAAGTGTCCTAGAGGATGCATATATGGTGAAAATTTAACCAAATCAATTGTTTTTACATTTTTGGGGTGCATTTTCACCCCTATCAATAGTGTAGCTTCACCCTTGATAATAGTCACGACGCAGCTATAATAGTCATGCAAATATGACAAAACTGTTATTATAGCAGCTATAATAGCCATGCAGCAACATCGCTATAATTTCAGTACTGGTGCACCATTGCAAAGCCGGCGTCGCACCGTGAATAACTCGTGTGGCTCGGATCTGAAGATTGAAGACGACGGGCATCTTCAAAAGAAAATATGACGTAACATCATCATGGAACACTGAAACACTAATTCTGTTAGCTTAGAGCGATTACTGCTCTGTGGTGCCGTGCATGAGAATTTGTACAATTTGCCTACACCCTCTGCCTATATAGGTCCCGTTATAGCCCATTTAAAAAAACAAATCGAAACACTAGTATCACACACTGATTTGTTGTGGGCTAAAAAACCGTTTCTACAGGTGAGAAAAAAACTCAAAACAACAGATTATTATAAGAAGCGAGCGAGGAGAGTGCCATAAACCATGGGCGTATAGCCCTCTAATGAACTCATCAAAAGACTAGTATCACACACTACATTCTCCATCGCTAGCTAACCACTCCGGCAGACTCCACAGTCTCAATGGCGCGCAAGGCTCCGGCGGATTCGGAGTGTGCCAAAGCTGGCGGGGTCGGTTGAAGCAGGAGGCACGACCCTCATTTTCATCGAGGATATTAGCTGTGGAAAGTCGTGAAGGGGTAGGGGAGCAGTTGTCATGGTAGTCGTGCCTGCGGCAAACAATGGAGTACCACGGTCGCTACTTCCTCTGCGACAGGAGCTGCCGTCCTCTCCACCTTCTCCACCTTTCTTCCTCCACTGCCTCCTCCCTCGCCGAGGCCAAGTACGTCGCCAGTGACGGCGTCCGTCACGTCGTCCTCCAGTCCGTCTGTAGCAGGTCCAGTAAAGAGTGGCACGTGCCCGCACTCAAATTCTAAATTTCTAAAAAAATGCCTTCTTTCAGCCGTCACTAAAATATTGTGCTAGTCATCATTATGAATTCACGGTTACCAAGTTCATCGCTGATGGGCTCCGCGTAGGTCAAGAACTCTTTAGAGCATCCGCAAGTCTTCTAGGCCCAAGTTACTTCCACTGATCGTAGTTTCAATTCGGCCCAGTAACAGTGAACAGTGGCCTTCCGTAAAAAAGGTCTCGAGCTGGTTACAGTGTTCAGAGCTCGGAGTCCGTATAGGCCCAGCATCCAGTTACAGTATTACACAGAGCCCGGAGACGGTTGGTACTCCGCGCTGTTCGTTTTTTTTTCTTTCCGCCGGCGGAAATCAACCTGAGTCGCCGCCTTCTCCGTTCTCGCCGTCGCCTCTCCTGCCGCCGCGCCCGCTCGCCACATCAGCGCCAACCATGTCGGTGAGTGCCCTCCGGAGCCCTAGTCTCCAACTTCCGCTTCTCGCTCCCCGTGCTCCGAAACCCTAGCTTTCAAACTCATGGCAACGCCTGATTGAGCGGCTTCGCTCCGTTGCTCGCTGCTTTCCCCCTCAGATCTTCGAGTACAACGGGAGCGCCGTGGTGGCGATGGTGGGGAAGAACTGCTTCGCGATCGCCAGCGACCGCCGCCTCGGCGTGCAGCTGCAGACGATCGCCACCGACTTCCAGCGGGTGTTCAAGATCCACGACAAGCTCTACATCGGGCTCTCCGGGCTCGCCACCGACGCCCAGACGCTGTGGGTCTTCCGGATCCTCGATTCATTTTGGTCTGGGCGACCTGTCTCAGGGACGGGGCCAGTACATGGTTTAGGGTTTGGGTTTGATGCGCGTGTCGTTGTCTCTTTGTGCAGGTATCAGCGGCTGGTGTTCAGGCACAAGCTGTACCAGCTGAGGGAGGAGAGGGACATGAAACCCGAGACCTTTGCCAGCCTTGTTTCAGCCCTCCTCTATGAGAAAAGGTGACAACAACCTACACACTTTTTTTTATGGATTCAGTTATAGGCATGGTACAATTATGATTACCTTGGAGTGTATGGAGGTAAAACACTCACTGAATGAAGGGTACACTGGCAGTGTGAACTGCGAAGTACTAATATTGTTATCTCCACTCCACATCAAGAAATTGAGAACCATTGGGCTTTTGGGAGGCCAGTAATTAAATGCATCTCTGTGCTCTGCTGTCTGATATTAAGCTTTGTTATTTACTTATTTCTCAGTTATCTTTAGGAAGTGTGCTGTTTCGGGTATTTGTGTGGATTCAGTCAGCTGTTTGTCTCTTGACATATCCTTTTTTGACTTTGGAGACCTCTGACGGAAGTATTTCGTGATATGTAAGGTTTGGGCCGTACTTCTGCCAACCAGTTATTGCTGGCCTAGGAGACAACGATGAGCCATTTATATGTACAATGGACTGCATTGGTGCCAAGTATGTATCAACTAATCTTCAGTTTATCTTTCTGGACTCTTTACTCACTGCTGTTACTTGTCTGAAATTTCTTTTAAAAAAATAGGCTACCTAGGTGGAACTAGTTGATTCTTGATTTTGCATTAAGAAGAAAATAAACACCTGGTTCAAATTGAACTGGACTCTAATCTAGATGGTGTTTTATGTCCACACCTCCATCCAACTGAGATAGGCTCAGTTTCTCAAAATTCCTGATTGATCTAAACTACTGTACATTTTGTTAATGTATACACCTCCACACCTTCCACCAACTGAGGTAGGCTCAGTCCGGCACACTTGTTTGAGTAAATAATGTCTATTCTTTTGACTTAACCAAAATGCTATGGGTTTCACAGACCCAAAATTAGGATTTAAAAAGCATTACAAACACATAAGTTTGCCAGGAACCCCCAAAAGATGTATTATTATTTATTTATTAATATTCCAAACAAGTTGTAGAGTCCTTCTTTTCTCCTATACACGCTCCTGACTTGTCCCATAAGAAGCAATATGGAAGGACATAGAGAAACCTTTTTGTTCCAATTCGACCACTCCGCCCCTGTATCAATAGCAGTTAATATATAAACGAAGCCTTATTTTTGTTCCCAACTGTACCCTGTGCAATAGGCCTTAATGTTTAAGCCTGTTCATATTTGTTCGTTTAGATCCTATATGCTGACTTACTTCTCTGTCCTCTTTCTAATTAGTAATCTTATTAAAGTATTTCCTTTTGCGCAGGGAACTAGCAAAAGATTTTGTGGTCTCTGGTACTGCTTCAGAGTCGCTTTATGGTGCTTGTGAGTCCATGTATAAGCCAAACATGGTTAGTTTCTTTACACGAGAACTCTGCAGCAAATCTTTAACTGTCAATTCCATCTAGTTTGCTTATCTTTTATGTAGTCTCATAGGTAATCTTGTTCTTTCATGGATCTAACTATTACTTTTGGGAAGACATTTACACATCTTATTAGTTGGATTATTTCAAACTTGTATCAACCCTGAGATACCAGTTACCATCATCGAACCTGCACCAGCAGGGTTTTTGCTTTGCATATATGGTGACCATGTTCCATCACTTTTGATTCATCCTATAAATATTTTCTTTCTGTTCTATATTATACCCAGTTAATTCCATAAAGGTTTGCTTTCTATATACTAATATATGCCTATACTGCTGTGTTTTTTTAGTTGTATATGGCGTGAAAATAACTCTCTGACTGTAAGCTGATAGTTATCGCATTAATTTTTTTATGAAGGAACCTGAAGAACTGTTCGAGACAATCTCACAAGCATTGCAGGCATCTGTTGATCGCGACTGCCTCAGTGGCTGGGGAGGTTATGTTCTTATTGTGTAAGTTCCCTACATCTTTCAGATAATTACACTAAAAACGAATGCTTGTTCAGTCAACTCCACTGAGCGACAAGAGCCGCGTAATTAGCCAATTGGATTCCCAGTGCTAAAAATCAAACCCCTAAAAATCTAATCGAAAACAAAAAAAGTGGTTATGTTTTACTGCTCTTCGGCATTAGAATTTGGATGAAGATGAATATGCCTACTCTCCGTGGTTTTATAAGGTCTTGTTTTATTAATAAGAAACTTCTTTTCCTGGATGCAGCACACCCACTGAAGTGCAGGAGAGAGTGCTGAAGGGAAGGATGGACTGAGTGCTGCCATGTAGTTATTTTAGGAGATTGTTTCTTCATTCGGCCGTCCCTGCCCTGTACTGCGGCGTACAGATTTCAGAAAACCTGTGCACTACGTTTACTTCTCAAAGGACATTGATTCAGTAGTTTCCTTCGTCTTTCTATGCTGTTTCTTCCCCAGCATTTTAGAATTGCACGACTCGTGGCACTTCAGTTATGGTAATCGACATATCTGTTTGACCAGTTAACAGGGACATCCGTGCCGCACGGGTTTTTGTCTTGGAACGACAGTTTCACCTCATTTCTTATTCAATTGTTGACATGGATCCCAAGGCTGCACGCCAATCAGGTGACACCATGTCCTAATCCTTGGTGCTAATCATTTGCTCTTGCTCAACTCTTGACGTAGGCATTGGAATGTTAAAAGAAATCACCCACACGAACGGCAATCTTTGTTGCATCAGCCGGCAGATACATTCCTGCCCTCTGGAAGCAAAATACGGCAGGAAACTGGAAACAAGTAACCATTATATGCTTAGATAATAATGTGCAGAGTACGTCCCTGTCGCATTACACAATCATGCTCATCTTATTGCAGTATCACTTCTCACAAATACAAGACGGTCGGGGCTTTACGGAACTTGCTCTGGCGACATCCAAAGCATTTGCGTTGCGCAGCATGCACGTGCTGTACCGTATGGAGGCAGAGGCTGACAAGGAGAGAGGAGACACCGGGCTAAACGGCGGCGGCGGCAACGGTCACCGTGGTCACCACCGCGGCGTCAGCGCCGCCACACCGGTTGAGCTCAACCTCCTGGCCGGGATGGTCGGCGTAGGCGGCGCCCACCAGAACGCCGTGCGCGCCGCGCAGCCGCTGCCTGTGGTCGTCGTGCCGCTGGACGTGGCGCGGTCACCGGCGGCGGTCGAGTCGGAGCCGCCGCAGCTGTTCGCGTGCCACTACTGCCTGCGGCAGTTCTACAGCTTGCAGGCGCTCGGCGGGCACCAGAACGCGCACAAGCGCGAGCGCACGCTCGCCAGGCACCGCGGCGACACGGCGGCAGCGCCACTCGGGGTCGGCCACGACCACATGCACGCCGCCCATGGCGGCGGCGGGCCGGCGCCGTTCGCCGTCGTCCATGGCACCTTCGTGCAGGCTGCAGCGGCGCCGGCACCGGCGCTGGAGTGGAATGACGCACGGAGCGGCCAGGCTCCACCCGTGGTGGTGGTGGCCTCCGGCGAGCAGCTGTTCACTGGTGGATACGTTGACGGCCCGGGGGTTGGAGTTGGACAAGACGAGCTGCCGCCTAAGCTTGATTTGACTCTGAAGCTGTGAGCCTGCCTGCCCTACATACATATACAGAATTTTTCTTGCTAGCTCAAAGCAGTGAGTATACAGTGTGCCATTTCCTTTTCTTTCCACGCCGTCTGCCTTGAACATATGTATGTTGGATTTTGCTTGTGACGTTACCATCATTGGTAAAGTGCTCTGATGAGTGTCTCATCATCACCTTGGTCAGTTTTCTAGGCCTGCTCCTGCTAGTTCACATGCTTTCCTAGCCAGAGTACACGTGCTACAGGTAACTTCATGTTCGAGCTCGCTCGCGTGCAAGGATCAAGCTGAGCATGCAGCTGGTGACGAGCTAGCTTCTCGCAGAAAGTGGGCGACCGATCAGTTGGTGGTTTTCGGGGAAAACCTTGTTGCCAGGATAATTACCATGCAGTGCACTTTTTATTTATTTAATCTTGTTTTGAGTAGTACTAGTATATATGTAATGAAATTGGAGGGTGTACTTCGGGGACATGCTTTCTGACGCACTTTGATTTTAGATGATAAGAGCTCAAAATGGCCTTGAGATCGAAAGCGACGCGAGCACGAATATGTACAAATCAATAAATACATGCGTGTAGTGAGGGGTCCCCTTAAAATTTATAATGAATTGTAACGAAGTAGGCCCTATTTAGATTCATTAGCAGACAGTGGTTAGCTAGCTAATAGTATATAGCTAATATCAGCTGTTATTATCTTATTTGGTTCAACTAATAATATAGTTGCTGTCTAGCCAGCTAATAATTAGTTATACTTTATTAGCCGCACCTGTTTGGATTCAAAAGAGATAACTATTATTATATACTCCTGTCGGGGACCAATACAGCTCCAACCGACCCCAGGCGTGCAAGCTCCGCCTCGCCTGACCCCGAGGCCGCGGGCTCCGCCTCGCCCGACTCTTGGGTCCGTGCTCCGCATCGCCCGACCCCAAGGCCACGGGCTCCGCCTCGCCCGACCCCAAAGTCGCGGGCTCCGACTCGCCCGACCCTTGGGTTTGCGCTCCGCCTCGCCCGACCTCTGGGGGCGGGCTCCGCCTCGTCCGATCCCGAGGCCGCAGGATCCGCCTCGCCCGACCCTTGGGTTTGTGCTCCGCCTCGCCCGACCTCTGGGGGCGGGCTCCGCCTCGCCTGACCCTGAGGTCGCAGGATCCGTCTCGCCCGACGGAGACCCATACCGCCGCCAACCACTCCAGGTCCAAGCGTATGGGCCTAGGTCAAAACTCTGACACCAAGGAAGAGACCGGCACGCCCTAATGTAATCCGTGGCCACGACGGGCCAAACCTAAGGATTCACATCAGGAACAACGTCGGGCATACCGGTGCTGTTCTGCTTAACCCCCGTAAGGACGTTGACAGGCACGTCAGCTCACCACGACGTCCGCTGCGTCGGAATGTAACGCCATGACTAGCAGACGACGCCTGCGCATGGCGCCAGTGACGGACAGGGCCACGACGTGGAGCTGTACCTGTTGACATCTACAGGGTCGGCGAGACCTGCATGAAGGATAAGAAGGATCCGACGATCCTGAAGGACTCCTCTCTCTCGTTCTTCTCTTTTCCTCCGCTGTAACTCATGCTTTCTCTTGGCCTATAAAAGGGAAAGCAGGGCGTCCCATGGAGGGGATCCGATCTGACCCCGAACCGATCAGATCTAGATACACACAAGAGCAGCAACTGAGCTCTCAGCACCCTTTCACTCCTTTCACTAGAGACTTGGGACCTGTTCCTCTCTCGTCTGTTTGTAACTCCTACTATAAACTTTCAGTGCTAGTAACACGAGCAGCAGCGATGAACTGAATATAGGGACTTTCTGCCCGAACCAGTATAAACCTTATGTCCTCTAAGCACACCATCCGAGCCAGACGCGTAATACTACAAATTTACTCGTCGGTGGTAACTCAAAACACCGACAGTTGGCGCGCCAGGTATGGGCCTTTTGCGTGTCTCGACGTCCACTTCAGGTCTTAGATGGCCAGTCACGGCATCAGCTGGGTTCCGGGCGCACACGTGCGCTTTAGGGACCTGGACTTCATCGTCACAACGGAGGGAGAGTTGGCGTAGGCTCCCGCTGCCGTCCAACCTCTCCACTCCACCAGCCTCGACGCGATCACTGAGACGCTTGAGGAGCTGCAGCGCCACCTGCTCGGCTTCGACTACGGGAGGTTAGAGCGCCACCTCCCGTATTGCAACCTAAAATGATCAATAAAAATGCTAAACGAGAAGCTATTCCATAACTCAGGCAATTATCAAGTAGGGTTTTAAACCATTTTTTATGGAACAAAATACTATAGAACATGTGTGTGATGCTTAAATAAAGTTTGAAGTACAAACTTTGTAGATGATAATAAAATACTTGCTGTGGAAAAATAACATTGCTAGCTAACATTTCTAGTAGCCTAAAAATGGAACTTGAAATCAAATTTAGCTCAAGACCTAGAAAAATTCTTAAGTCCAATAACAGTATGACAATGCTATGTTGGTGAATTAATTTTAGAAAATTTAGCTAAAGGTCAGTGCTATGTTTTTGCTCCTTATGGTAGCCTAATGTACCTCCTTCAGCATGATCAAGGTGGTTTAGACACAACCGAGTTGGATTAGTGTTGAGAGACGCTTTAAAATCTGTGCACGAACACAGTCTCGGGCTACCTGGCCTGTACGCATGATCACCACACGTGGCCGCTCTGCATCGCCGTGCCGTGCTCGCCCGCACTGGCCAGCTGAGGCCGACCTGGCTCAGCCGTGGCTTGGCTACGGTCTGGCTGCGGCTAGCCACCGCACCTATAGCTGGCCGCCTGCCCGGCCAGCTGCTGGCCACTACGCCCCAATGGCCGCCGCTGTCGCTCTATCGATCTGGTGCCCCACCCGCTGCCGCACTGCTGCTGTGCTGCTGCCCTCCCTCCTGGGCTTTGACTACGGGAGGTTAGAGCACCAGCTCAGCGCCTTCCTAGGACCCTAACCGTCCCGGGAGGACCTACGCCACCTCACCTTCTCGTTCGCCAATGTCATGGCCTAGCTTGTCGGAGGAGAGCCGCTCTCTCCGGAATACCTCATTCGAAGCGTCCCGACATCACTCTTCTCCGGTCTCTGCAATGCCGTAGAGACTGTTGACCACCTTGTGGCGCAACACACTCCTCCATCCCCCGTGAACAACGAGTTCATGGGGATGACCGAATATGTCACGGAATCTTTCCACGACCTCCTCGCAGGAGAATCGGAGTCACCCTCTAGCTTTGACTCCAGCATGGGGAGCCATCATCCCTCTCATGAATGTTTCATGGCAGGTACCCCTGAGGGACACGTCGAAAGCATCCACGAGGGAGAGGCTACCTCAATGAATGACTTCGACGATGAGGTCGAGAGGGATGCAGGGGGCCCACCTCGCCTGCGGGTAGAGCAACTGAAGGCCTTGTACCAAGAACTCGAGGAAACATGACTCTAGCTCGAGCAGGAACGTGCGGAGCTCGAGTGAGAGATCGAGCGCCACAGAGACGATGGGCGTGCGACGTGAACCGGAGGATCATCGAGGACGATGAAGCCCTCTCACACTTCATCCGGGCGAGCTCGAACATCGCTGCTATGGCGGCCTTGCTCCGGGCGCTTTCGGGGCCTGCGACGCCCGAGGATCGTTGGAGCAATCGAGAGATTCGCACGCTACTAGAGCGTGCGGCGATGCAGCAGGCCGAGAGCTCGCTATCCTAACGACACGAGCTTGACGCCAGCCAGCGCACGTCCTCAGAATGACCTAACAAGGACGCGTCAGTCCACTAGGCGCCGCAAGGCGGCAGGCCGTGCACCGCGGTCCCGGTGCATGAGCGTCTCAGCCGCCACCGTGATGCGTGTGATGCTCTCGATGCCCGCAGGCGTGCCCGTGGTGATGCGAGGGAGGGGGCTAGCCGTGGCTACCACCCTCGTCATGGCGGACACTACGACAGCGGTGAGGACCGAAGCCCGAGCCCCAACTTGCCGGGACCTCAGGCCTTCGGCCGACATATCCTCAACACCGTCTTCCTACCACGGTACCGACCACCGACCAACATCCCGAAATACTCCAGAGAAACGAACCCCTAACTGTGGCTCGAGGATTATCGGCTTGCTTGCCAAGCCGGTGGAGCAGATAATGATGATTTCATTATCCGCAACCTTCCATTGTTCCTGGCCGATTCGGCGCGAACGTGGTTGGAACACCTTCTGCCCAATAGAATCCAAAGTTGGGTGGACCTGAAAGAGATCTTCGTGGAAAACTTCTAGGCACATATGCGCGTCCTGGGAACCCATGGGATCTCAAAAACTGCTGATAGAAGACCGGAGAAACCCTTCATGGGTATTTTCGACGCTTCTCCCGACAATGCAACAAGCTGCCCAACATCATCGACGCCGATGTCATAGGAGCTTCCCTATCTGGGACCATCTATGAGTCCCTGGTCCATAGGCTGGGACGTAAGGGCCCGCAAACCACCAAGGAGCTCCTCGACATCGCCACCAGCCATGCCTTGGGCGAGGAGGCGGTCGGAGCGATCTTCGACCACCGCAAGGGCAAGGAAAAGCAGGACGAGGACGTCGATGAAGGCGCCTCCAGCCATCCCAGCAAGAAGAACAAGCAGCGGCATGAGGGCTCGCTCATAGCCACCGCCGACCGCAAGGGGGGTCAGAAGCCCGCTGAGGGCACCCCGGACTACTTTGAGAAGCTGCTCGAAGGACCATGTTCGGACCATGCTTTCCCCGTTAAGCATCTATACAAGGACTATGGTCTCATGAAGCGATTCTTGTCCGAAGGCTCCAACAAGGGGGAGCATAGGAAGGACCCCAAGCCATCCGTGGACGACGCCAAGGGGAAGGACGGTGGCTTTCTGACATTGGATAGCTGCCTCATGATCTTTGGAGGGTCGGCGGCCTACAACTCCAAGCGCCATCAGAAGCTCACGTGCCGTGAGGTCTATAGGACCGAGTCGGCCACGCCTACCTTCCTCCGATGGTCGGAGTCTGCCATAACCTTTGATCGAACCAACC